TGCGGAGAGGTGGGGGGGGCTTCTCCCTGCCCCAGGTTCCCCCATGATGCCCTGGGGTCTAGATGGGAGTCTGACACAGCAGAGGTTCATGGGAGTAGGGCTGAGGGCAGAGACTGCCAGGCCTCACGCCTACTCCACGGGCCTGCCCCTCCCCTGGCCTCAACCTCTCTCCTCCTCCAAGGCCACAACGTGAGCCGCAGATGTACAGACGAGGGCTGGACAGAACTGGAGCCTAGCCCCTACCCCATTGCCTGTGTCACAGTCCCCCACCCCCGCTCCTTCCACTCTCTCCCACCGAGGGGTGGAGGTTGCGGCCTGTGTGGGAGCCAGACCTCCTGGGCTCTGCCCTCGCCAGGCGCCCCCTCCCTCGCCAGGCCTGCCTTTCCAGGGGCTTGTCCCCTGGCTTCCCCTGATGAGGGTGCTTTCATGAGGATGACTCAGAGCAGCAAAAGCTGAAGCCACACCCCCCGGCCAGGCCACCCATTGCCTGGTGGGACCTCGCTCCAGCCCTGGACATGACAAGGGAGGGAGATCCTATCCTCCCTGTCACATGGGGAAGGAAAACAAGGAGCAGATACTGGAGGGACAGGGACAGGACCACCCCTCAGTCCCAGGACAGGGATCTGCCCCAGAGCCGGGGAAGCATACGTGGTCACTGTCAGGGGCCAGGCAGGGACACTGATGGGGAGCTGGGGTGGAACTGGAGTCCTCAGCTAGCAGCCCTCGCTGCTTTGGTGTGTGAACCCGTGTGTGTCTGTATGTCTGTGATGACATCTGTCCCGCCCCCAGACACCCTTCTCAGATAGAGCCCCAAATGCGAAATCACCCCCAGTGTCTTCATGGCCTTCTCCATGCCCGGCGTGCCTCCCTCCCCACACAGAGGGAAGTCCTGGAGGTGGGGGGGTTCTGAAGAGCAAGCAGTCTTGGTTCCGAGGCTGGCAAGACCAGAGTTGGCACAGAGGGGGTGCCAGACCATGACTGAAGAATACAGGGACAGATGGAACATGTGAGGTTTTCTCTCTCTCCTGCCCTGACATTTCCCATGAAGGAGCAGAGGGCAATTACAGTCAACCCCCACCCTAGGAAGCAGTCCGGTCTCCGCTGTGCAGACTGGGATGTCATGGGTCTGGGTTCTGAAGGGGGCAGCTCAGCTGCCCTTGGGAGCCCTGGGCTTCAGCCTCCTCTGCCAAGGCAGGGATGGGCAGGCAGGGTGTGTAGGGCGCCCCACCCCTGCCAGTACCCCTAGGTGCGTTCACCCCATCCCCACCGAAGATCCTCACCACCTCCCTCTACCAGCAACAGAATAGGTTCTACATGTCCGTGAAGACCGGCTACACCATCGGCTACGGCCTGTCCCTCACCTCCCTTCTGGTCGCCATGGCCATCTTGAGCCTGTTCAGGTAAGGTCCAGCCTCCTCTGTCCTAGCCTGGTCCCCACAGGATGGCTTTGCACCTGGGGATAGGGGACCAGAGGGCAGGGCCTCTGCTCTGGACTGAGACACCTGGAGGCTGAGGCACTTGGAGGCCTGGCTGCACTCAGTCGGTCGGTCAGTCAGGGAAGGGATACCTGGGACAGGGCCCCCGTTTGGGGCAGGACCAGCACTTGGGCCATGTTCCTTCCTCCGTACCCTTGCTCAGAGCACTGACAGTGTTGGGTGGGGGTCCGAGGCCCCTTCGGCCTCCCAGCTCTGCCCATGTCACACAGGAAGCTCCACTGCACACGGAACTACATCCACATGCACCTCTTCATGTCCTTCATCCTGAGGGCAGCCTCCGTCTTCATCAAGGACCTGATCCTCTTCAACAGCAACCCATCAGAAGACTGCTCCGAGTCCTGGGTGAGGACCTGGCCACCGCCCTGTCTCTTCCCCCTTCTCTCTCTCCCTCTCTCTCTCTCCCCTTTCTCCTCTTTTTCTCTCCATGGATGGCCAACCCCCTGGCAGCTTGTTGAATCCCACTCCTCTCCCCACAGTGGGAGATGGTGCCCAGCCATCTGGGGTTTCGAAGACCTGCCCCTACCAATGAGAAACGTCTCTCCTTGATGGGAAATAAACTTCATGGCCAGAGCCCACAGCCGCCGTCTCACATCTGTCCTAACTCCCCATGTGACTTTAGGAAACTCCCTGCCTCAGTTCCCCCATCTGTACAAGGACTTCCAAGCTTGCTTCCAGCTCTACCCTCTGCCATCGGCAAACCCGGGCTCTGCTCACCACGCCACCCTTCCTACGCCCCCTTGCCACGTGGAGCCAGTCCAGACACACACAGCCCCCCTCTCCTGTGCTCCCCGCCATCAGTAAGTCCGGGGGCTTCCTCGAGAAGAGAAATTAACAGCGTCTAAGAATGCATCGCTGTCACTGAGGGGTCCATCTGCAGGGGTCCATCTCCAGCTCAGGAGTGTCCCCGAGCTGGGACAGAGAGCTGGAGACCAGCCCCGGCTCCCACCCCTGCCCCAGCTCCATGAGTGATGGCAGACACCGTGCATGGTTTCAGGGGAGAGCAGTACCTTCTCCCCAGAGTTCATCTGTGCCCGTGGAACCTCAGGCCTCTCGACAAGGGGAAGGAAAAGCCCAGGGGAGCCCCCCTGGCCATTCCCAGAGCTCCTCAGAGGACCCAGACATGCAGTGTCAGTGCAGAGCCTGGGGAGCCACCTGCAGCCGCCAGCTCACTGGTGAAGGGTAATTGTGGAGCCTGGCTGCCCGACTCATGAGCAGCTCCGTGAAGCTTTTCGAAGGCTAGACAAACGCACATCAATGGTCCTGTTAAAGAGCTGTTATTCTCGTAAAGCAAGTGTACAACGGAAGGTAGGCAAGTGTACAACGGAAGGTAGGCAAGTGTACAACGGAAGGTAGGCTGTTCTCTGAGGATGTTTCAAAGCCAAGGGCACAGGAAGGAGTGGGAACCTGCGTTCCAGGTACTGGGAGGAATAGATGCTAGAGGGCTTCCAGGAGGAGGTGGCTTTAAGCTCTGGCGCACAGGTGGCTGGGCTTGATCTGAAATGGGAGACTGCTTCTAGGAGAGCACAGGAGACCTTCTAATCAACCCAGAGCCCCTGCTTGCCCTCCTCAGGAGTGACCTGTAACTCCTCCATTGTCCTCACCTCCTGGGGAACCCATTCCTAACCAGCTCCTCTGGCCCCCAGGAGGAATAGCCATCCCTCTCTTCTCCATTTTTCCTCATTTCTCCTCTCCCCTCCACTTCTCTCTTTTCAGTCCCCATCTCTCCTCAACACTCATAGCTGGGCCTACTCCACAGCCCAGAGCTCACATCTCCACACATTCAATGGATTCTTGCAAATGGGAGCAAGAATTGCCCTCACACCTCTTCCACCTTCAATCCTTATTGGAATAAGATGAATGGGGGAGGGATGTTTAAGTGGATGAGTAAGTAGATGGATGGCTGAGTAAATAGGTGTGTGGATGACTGAGTAGGTGAAAGGATAGGTGGATAAAGTAAGAAAAAGAAAGGATAGATGATGTTAGAGGGGTAGGTGGGTAGATAGGTGGATGGATGTATGAGCAGGTTGATGGACAGGGAGATAGATGAGTGAATAGATAGATGGGTAGGTATCGGGTTGGTAGTAGATGGCTAGTAGGTGAGTAGGTAGATGAATGGATAGATAGGTGAGTGTGTGGATGGATTGATAGATGGAAAGATGAATAGATGGTGGGTGACTGCATGGATGGTAGATGGATACATAGATGGGTGAGTTGGTAATGGATGTCTAGTGGGTGAATAAGTAGATAAATGGATAGGTAGGAAGATGCATGGTTGGATGGGTAGGTGGTGGGTAGATAAATAGATAAGATGATAAATTCCTAGGATAATTAAAACCACAAGTTTATTCCAAAGCATCAGATGATCTCACATCAAGGATAATTGGAAAACCACTGAGTATATTTTTAAGGGGATAAAAACAGAGATTAAGTCGGCTGTACAGCAACTGTGTCAACCCAGACAGAGCTGTGGGCCGATGGGGGCCACCACTAGCCCCAGTGAGACCCCTCTTCTGCTCCTTCCCTGCAGGTGGGCTGTAAGGCCGCCGTGGTCTTATTCCAATACTGTGTCATGAGCAACTTCTTCTGGCTGCTGGTGGAGGGCCTGTACCTGCACACCCTGCTTGTAGTCTCCTTCTTCTCCGAGCGGAAGTACTTCTGGGGGTACATGCTCATCGGCTGGGGTATGGTTCTGGGGAGGGCGACCAGGCTGGGGACATAGGGGATGAGGCTTGGGGAGCTTACGAAGGGGCAGGTGCTGATCCAGCCTGCAGTCCTAGGTCTTGCTGGACTGTAGGTCCTGCCTGCAAGTCTCTAGCCAAGGGTTGATAAAAGTCACCTAAATGTGTGACCCAGGGCAGGTGCCCTGAGGCTGTGCCAGGGCTGGGCTGTGGGACAGACAGGTTCTAGGAACATCTTTCCACCACCCCTTCAGCCTTGAAACACAGGGCTAAAAAAGACTCACCCTGTAGGTGGGCACAGCCCCTCAGACACACAGTTTCAATCCTCAATGGAGCACAGTGAGCAACCAATGCAACCATACGGCGCAGCCCTAGTAACCCCCCCGTTCTCTCTCCCTCCCTCTCTCTGGTCCTTCCTCCGTAATCTCTCCCTCATGCCCTCTCTCCCTGACTCCCATGCCCTCTCCTCTCTCTCCTTCGGCCCTGGCAGGGGTGCCCAGCACATTCACCATGGTGTGGACCATCACCAAGATCTATTTTGAGGATTATGGGTGAGCTGTCACCCTACCCCCTCCTCCTGGCCGCCATCCCTTGGGGCACATCCCTGGGTGGGATGAGGGGGGCTTGGGAGCGACAGACTCTGGGTCCATGCCTCTGAAGGGACCAGGGGCAGAGCTGGGGACAACGGGGAGAACTGCTGACCGTCTCTCTGGCTGAGGACATCCTCTCTCATTCTCCCCTACCATCCCCTGCCCAGATGCTGGGACACCATCGGCACCTCACGACTGTGGTGGATCCTAAAGGCCCCCGTCCTCACCTCCATCTTGGTAAGACCTCCTCCCACCACTCAGAGATGGGGAAACGGAGGCCCAGGTTGGGTAGTCAACTTGCTTCAGGTCACCCAGGAAATTCCAAGTCTAGGTCAGAACTGAAACATAGGCTTCCCAATGCCTAACGCAGTGTTGCCGCCCTTCCTCCCCCCTCCCGCCCCCGCAAGGCCTTAGGGATGGATTTTTCCTCTAGAGTAGAGAAGAAGGATTGGGAGGCCCAGGCTTTAGGGATGGGAAGTAGAGTTCCCAGATGACTTGCCCCAATGAGGGGAGAGCTAGGGGACAGGTAAGACGGAAGGGCAGCAGGGCTCTAGGGATGAGATGGGCCATCTACCCAGGAGCTGGACAATCCTCTCTCTCTGACTACCCATCCTTGGCCTACCACCACCAGGTGAACTTCATCCTATTTATTCGCATCATCCGAATCCTGGTTCAGAAACTGCAGACCCCAAATGTCGGGAAGAGTGACAAAAGCCCGTACTCGTGAGTGTGCCGCCAGTGCCCTGGCTCTCCCAGGATCCCCATGCCCGGTCCTCAAAGCATCCCGTGTCTCCTGTATGTCCCCCTCCAGAGTCACCAAAAGCCACGTTGCTCTTGCCCACCTCTACCCCAAGGCCTGGCTCAGTCCACAAGTGTCCTCTACCCCAGCCCCACCGGTCCAGGCTCATGAGTCCCACATCTGCTTCTCCTGCAGTCACCTTCCCTGGCAGGTGATCGGACCCAGGTACGAATCTGCTGCCTCACCAGGGTGCTGGAGAAGACAGTAGATAACCTGTGTCTTGTCCACACTGAGTGCTCAGTCCCTGGCATGTGCCTGGCAGAGAAAAGGGGCCAATCAATGCAGTTAGTGAATGCCCTGGGGAGCCTCCAATCTACCAACAACACAGCCATATTCAGGACTCAGGACTTGCCAGTAATAATAACAACATCTGCAGTTCGCATGCCAGGCATGTGCCAGGGGGTTCCATTCATCACCTCATTTCACCCACTGCCCCCTATAAACTGCTCCTGTTTTACAAGTGAGGATACCGACACACACTCCCTCCTCTCGAAGGTTTGGGAGTGTGCCCCGTGGCAGGGGGAGGGCACGGTGTCCATGGGACAGCGGTCATGCTCCTGGAGGCTTAGCAGGGTGTGAGGGCTGCCCCCTGTGCCGGGAAGGACTGGAGAAACGGGCAGGCTCTCGTGAGAACAATGGCCTTGAAGACAGAACAAAAGAAACCAGAAAAGGGTGTCTGTGGGCAGGTGAGTAGGCATCTACATGCCCACAGATGGGAGCAGGAGATTATCACCGCTGCACAGACTAGACACAAGCCTGGGCGTTCTGCAAGGGCCTTCTAGTCCTGGGATTCTAGAATGTTCTTGGCCTGGCTTCTCTTTGGGGGAGCCTGTGCTGTGGTTTTAAGGTTCCCGGCTAGAACGTCCTGAGCTGCTGGAGTGAGGATTCTATTCTGGACTCCTGTGATCTCACGGATGAGACTGAGATAGGCATTCCACAGGGTGCCCGCTTTCTCTCCTGCTGGGTGTGGGGGCGGAGCCTCTCCCAGTTGTTGAAGGGAAGGCCCTGCAGGGGGCGGCCGTCTGCCAAGGGGTAGGACCTCAGGCCTGCCCACGCTCACTCTCTACTTTTGTCTGTGGGCCTTGTTTTTCCCAACATTCAACTACTCAAAAGGGCTTGAATCCGAGGCAAAGAGAGCTGGTCATTGCCAGGTCCACGTGGGTGAGATGGAAACCGAACAGCTGTCGGCAGGCAGCGGGGCGGGAGACGGATAGGAGATGGAGCTCCCCGAGCAGGGCTGTCAGCTCCCACTCTCCACCTCCTCATAAGCCTTCACTCTAAAGAGAGCTTCCATCTGCCAGCCTCAGCGGGCCACGGAGGGGTGGGCAGTGCCCGGGATCTCGGCCTGGCTGGGAACCAGGTCCAGGAAGGAATGGGAGAAGCAAGGCCAGTTTCCCTGCCCCCGGTTTGCTGTGGGGCCTCAGGCCGGGGACTAGGCTCCCCTGGGCTGACCGCCAAGGCAGGAGAGAGAAACACAGAGACCCCTCCACCACTCAGACCTCTCCCAGGAGAGAACTGGTCTCATGGAGCCATTGCACTTCACAGCACCCAAAGCACTTCTCAGTCTACAGTGGGTCCGCTGTCTATAATTTGACCATGTGGAGCGTACACTTACCCCACTGTACAGATTGGGGGAAACTGAGGCCAGGAGAGGGAGTCGGGTTCTCTCCCCGGTGGCTGCCACAGAGGCTGGAATCCCACCGTCATGCCTCGTCCTCGGGGTTCAGCACTGGCCCTCCTTCTCACTCTTCCAGAAGGAGGAGGATAGAGGGGTTTCTCCCTCCCTCATGCTTCCCTCCAGACTGGGAGGGCTGGGGCCTGAGGGCACAGACACCTCAGATATGGACCAGGACCAGGATCAGAGGCGGACATCACAGTCAGGGGGCCAGAGTTCTTCCTCGCACACCCTGGTTGCTGTCCCCATCTTCTTGGGGAGGCCTGTCGTGCCCACATGTATGGACACCCCGACTCACTGCCTGCCCCTCCCTGCCCCCAGGAGGCTGGCCAAGTCCACCCTGCTGCTGATCCCCCTGTTTGGGATACACTATACCGTGTTCGCCTTCTTCCCCGACAACTTCAACGCTGAAGTGAAAATGATCTTTGATCTCGTCGTGGGGTCTTTCCAGGTATGAATTGTTGACTTACAGCTGCCTTCTCCTCTGGGCTGGAAGGGAATTCAACCTAGAGCCTCCACCCCTTGCCACTGGATTCCAGTCTTTTCACTGTAATAAGTATTGATGAAGCACCTGCTGTGTACTTAGCCTTCTGCTTAACCAGGAGAACACGGGGGCTGGGCAGGGCTAGGGGCCCCTGTGGTCTGCCCAACTCACCTCCCTGTTGCCTTTCTCCCAGGGTTTCCTGGTGGCTGTCCTCTACTGCTTCCTCAATGGCGAGGTGAGCCCCCCTGCCCCCCCCTCCCCACCCAGACCTTGGGGCCCAGGGTCCAGAAACGCTGGTGGGATAGGAGCAGAGCGAGGACGGACAGGTTAAACCTCGCTACTCCGAGTGTGGTCCTCAGACTAGTAACTCAATGGCGGCATCGAAGACCTAGTTAAGAATGCTGATTGCTGGTCCCACTCCAGACCTGCTGGCTTCGGGTCTGCATTTTCAGTAAACGCAGAGTTTGACAAGTGCCTGTTCAGGGGCTGTGCGCAGAGTGAGAGGGGAGGGTGGGGGGCAGCAAGTGAAGGCTGCGTTACAGGGAAGCCCTGGTTACAGAGCGCAGAAGTCCGTTTGGATGAGCTCAAGTGGTCTGGAGGGCAGGGATGGGGATGGGGATACAGCCACCCCAGGCAGCATCCCTCTCCATCCACGGACTGCATTCTCTGATCCTCTCTGCCTCCCTCCTCCCCTCCTCCAAGGCCTTGATTTGACCTTGGCCCCCAGCGTCCCAACTCTGTATCCCCAAAGGGAGCATCGGGGTCTCTCAATTTAGACTCCCCAGGAGGCTTTGTGGGTGTGACCACCCTCCCTTCTCCCAGGTGCAGGCAGAGCTGCGGCGGAAGTGGCGGCGCTGGGACCTACAGGGCGTCTTGGGCCTGGGCCCCAAATACCAGCACCCACCCGGAGGCAGCAGCAGCAACGGGGTGACCTGCAGCACACAGGTCTCCTTGCTGACCCGCGTCAGCCCGGGCGCGCGCCGCTCCTCCAGCTTCCAGGCCGAGGACTCCGTGGTCTGACCGCCAGGCACCCAGGGGCGCAGGGGGGCTCCACCTGCCCGCACCCACCCACCCGCCCTCCCGGGCGACACTGGGGACAGAGGCCTACCGGGGCGAGTAGCCCCAGCCCTGGGCTCGGAGGCCGTCCTGGCCCCCAGGTCACTATCCAGAAGCCCTGGCGCCGGCCTGGGGAGAGGGAGGTGCTTCTAAACAAGCCGGAGCCCCGAGAGGTGCACCCTGGAAGGTGTGGGGTGGAGCTCAGTCATCAGACTCCTCCCCCAAAGGCTCTCTCCCAATCAGTGGAAGGAAATTTGCATACTCAAGTGACTCCGCCCCCCCTCGTGACCAGTCGAGGAAGGCACCACCCAGGCCAGACAATACAGTGGGAACATGGTTGACAAAGGCCTTGCGCTCCCCATCCCCAAAGGTCCCCCGACACCACCACCTCATCAGTGCCTGAAGTTCCAAGCTTGCTGTCAGCTTCCTTTGGGTTAAGCATCACCATTCAGGCATCTCTCTGAGGATGCGGTCCCCTCCCCCAGTGCCCTCTTAGTTGCCAAGTCCTGGAGGTAAGGGATGCAGTTGTGAGCCGGAGTTCTGATTTGGGGACACAGCTGTCTTCAGAGCCTGCTGAAGGGGGTGGTCCCAGGATGATGGCAACAATTCGAGGGGCTGCCACCAACCGTACCCATCCCTATGGGTTGTGGGAGCTGCCCTCAGCTGCCTACCTACGAGCCAGCTGTGAGAACTAGACTCAGAGATGTGCACTCCTGGGTCCCTCAGTCCTCACATCAACCCAGCGAGGTGGGAATGACTGTCCCTGTTTCACAGATCAGGAAGCGGAGCCTCACAGAGCAGGTACCTGGCCTTGTCATGCAGCGGGATTTGAACTCAGATCTGGCTGACAGGAAAGGGAAAGCACAGGCTTCTTACTGCTGCCTTTTATATCTTATAACATGCTGGATCCTCTTGTTATTTGTTTCACCCCTCGTCGTTATTGCCACCATCCCTGTAACCGCAACCCCCTCCCACCTGACCCTCCCTGGCGTGTGGCTGTGGCTGAGGAGTCCTCTGGCCCATGTGTCGTCTACACAACAGCCTGGTGGTCATGGCATCGTGTGTCTGCTCCGCGCCTCTGTGGTCCCATGGCTTCCTGCCCACACCACAGCCGGAAGACCCTCATGTGTGCAATAATAAATGTTGTGTTGGATTGGCTTGGTTTCCCTGGTGGTCGATGTTCCTGTGTGACCTAAAATGGGGACTGGCTTCCAACTTGCTGCCATCTCTCCCCATTGGGAGGAGGGGTACACCGAAGCCAGAAGCTACCACCCCTCTGACTTTGGGCAGCAATGCCTGCCATGAGAGAAGCACACAGTTCTAACAGTCTTGGACTGACATTTCACAGAGAGGTAATTCTCTCTTCTGAGTGTGAAGAAGTTATACCAGGTCTTCACTGTGTCCTCTCACCCCCAAATCCAGCCCCAAAGAGACAGTTCTATTGGATCAATACAAAACAGCTAACAGAGCTACCCGCAGCCCTGGAAATGGTTCGGTATGAGCATTTCCCAGGCCGCATCCATTCCTGCAGACAAGGGGTCCATGGGGTATGAGATGGCCGGGTTGCTATTGCCATTATTCAGCCAAGAGGAGGAAGATAGAGGACCAAACAAATGTCACCAAAACAAGTGAGTGAGCCCTAGCTGGTCTGGCTCAATGGATGGCACATCGGCCCACAAACTGAAGAGGTACAGGTTCGATTCCGGTCAAGGGCACGTACCCCCAGTGCAGGCTCGATCCCCAGCCCTGGTCGGGTGTGTGTGGGAGGCAACCAGTCATTATGTTTCTCTCAGTGTGTCCCTCCCCCTCCCTTCCACTCTCTAAAAATCAGTGGTAAAATATCCTCAGGTGAGGAGTAACCCAAAAAAGTGAGTGAGCAGAGGCAATACCACTAACAGAAAGGTTCCGGCGGTTCTCAACCTGTGGGTCACAACCCTTTCACAGGGGTCGCCTAAGACCCTCGGAAAACACATATATAATTACATATTTTTGTGATGAATCACTATGCTTTAATTATGTTCAATTTGTAACAATGACATTGGGGGTCACCACAACATGAGGAACTGTATTGAAGGGTCGCGGCATCAGGAAGGTGGAGAACCACTGGTAGACCGAGGCAGTGGGGTGAGGTGGATGATGTCAGTCAGCAAGCGGTGTCTCCAAAGCCATTGCCTGAGTTGACCTCCTTGGCCTCCACTTTCTACAAGCTTACAAGGAGGTGTCTTGCTGCAGGAGCAGGAGAGGGATGCCAAGTTGGTAAAAATAAAAAAAGAAAGAAAAGAAAGGCCAGAAAGGGCTGGCAAAGGCTTAGATCTGCCTGCAGGGCTCCTTCCAAGCCCTAGGCTGCTCAGTGCCATCCCAGGACTCATCAAGGACGGACCAGCCCAGCACCCAGCGGCCCGGAGGCCCCAGTCAGGAGCGGTCAGGCCAGGGAGAGTGCCTGTAAGCTTAGAGCAAGGCAGCCCCAGGCAAATACCCTTTGGTCCGTGGTCCAGCATGTCCAGGAGTAGCAAACCCTCTCTGTCTAGATCTGCGCTCCGTGCCTGCCCTGTGCATGGCAGCTGTAGGGCAGAGAAGGAGGCAGCACCCAGCTTGAGTGCCTGGCATGCTGGAGAGAGTTCTCAGCACCCTCTCTCCCCTCCCCCTGCCTAGGCCAACCATGGTGACCACCAATAAGGTGCGGGTCAGGTGGGGAGAGCTGGGCTCAGGCGTTTGGGACACTTGGGACTTGCTCCATTCCTCCCTGTCCCCCACCCCTGTACTCCAAGGCACTGAGACGAGGGATGGGGAACAGGCGGTATGTCCATGCTCCTCTCACCCAGCTGGGGTATGTTGCTCACACTCTCTGGTTTCCTTCCTCCCCCTCCCGCCTGGGGACTCCCTGCACTGGCTCCAGAGACCTCACCCACCCCATTCTGCTCTAGAAGGTCTAGAAGACTGGCCCTGGTCTTTTAGTCCTGATGCTGGGCCTCAGTTTCTCCACCTGCATAAGCGGGGAGGGTGCTGGATGGCTTAGCTTTGTTTCCGGCCAAGACTTGGGTGGCTAATGAGGCAGAGCCTGGTCAGAGCCTCTGCCACCTGGTTTGTCCTCTGGGCTCAGGGGGAAGAGAGCAGCTGGGGAGGGGGGCACTCCAAGCATCTGGGGGCCAAGGGAGAGCCAGAGGATGAAGGCTGTGCAGAGAACGGGGTCAGAGAATGAGGGATGGGCCCAGGCTGGTAGAAGAGGGGAGGGGAGGAGGGGAGACAGAAATGGGAGGAGCCAACAAATCCTAGAAGCCAAGTGTTTGCAGAGGGAAGGGCAGCACCAGCACCCCACCTCCAGATAAGGAACCCCACCAGCTGACTGAGGGGGTGTAAAGACCAGGAGGCCCACTGAACCCAGCCCCGCCAGGGCTTAAAATGCCCCGTTAGTGAGTCATGGCTTTGGGGTAAGGGGAGAGCCCTGAGGCGAGGAGCTGAGTTACCAGCCAGGAGGGTGGAAAGGGAATGAAACACAGAGAGATCCAAGATGGGGCAAAACGGGGGGACAGAGGTGGGCTCCTGCCCTGAGAAGAGGCAGCAGGTGAGCAGCCCAGCGGTGGCTTTCAGGACGAAGAAGCTGAAACTCTGTCTTGGGCTGGCACAGGCCATCGACGGACATCCAAGTGGCCGATGAGGTAGGGGTGGAGTGGGGCTGACCACACCAAGAATTTCTCCTGCACCCCCTCTTCCCTCCAGCTCTAGGGCCCCTCCTGCCTTGCAGGGCACTTATCAAGCCAGACCAGCTCATCTCTATCGCCACCTGGTGGGCACCTCAAGGACTTCCCCAAGGTTGGCTTAGGTCCCCAAACACCTGGGAGGCCAGATGATACCCGGGCAGGCCCCTCTCTCGTCTCAGCTCCATTTCAGAGTGAGATAGAAGAGGAGGAGATGGGGAGGCGACAGGCCTGGTGACGCCAGGGATCCAGGAGACCAGAGCCTGGCCCTTGGACCCAGGCCCCTGACCACGGTGGCACACAGACCCCAGCTGGGTTCCCCGCCCTTGACCAAGCTCTGACCCAGTCCTTGTAGGCAAAAGCCAGTTAACTCAGGGGGTCACCCTCTGGGGAGACAAGTGCAAAGAGTCTCCCACCATCCTGGCGGAGAGGCCACCATCACCTTGATGGCCAAGGGTGACATGTGGCTGGTTCCTGCCACTCCAGGGAGGGCAGCCAGTCTGCCATCAAAGTGGATTGGAAGCAGCTTCTCAGGTGAGGTGACATCGGGAGGTGACTTCTCTGAGAGCTGGGTAGGAGTCCGTGGATCCCAAGGGAGTGTGATGAGCGCAAGGAACACCTGAGTCCAGGTGAGCAGGTGCTGGGGCCTCTTTGCAGCAGGAGCCCAGTGCAGGCTTCTTCAGTGAGGCCCAGAGGAAGAGGGTGGGCAGGTCTGAGAGAAGTCACCAGTCCATCATCCAGGTGAGTTAGGGGGGCGGGGAGGGGGGGCGGGTTTGGGAAGATGTTGACCTGGTGGTTTGGGACACGCTGAATGTAATGTCTGTGGGACACCTGGGGAGAAGCCCCACGGCTGTTGGAATCAGAACCTAAGTCCACAGGGCCCAGGCAGGGGGCGGGGAGACCAGGGCAGCCCCGTGGGGAAGAGGTGCCGGGAGTCTGTCCCCAGGCACCTCCAGCTGGTGTGACGGCCCAGGGTGGTTAGGTGCCATCCCCCCTTCTCCTCCCCCATTTCCCACCACTCACCCAGAGCCTGTTTTAATGAGCAATGACCCTGCTTCCCTCTACGTGGGAACAGGAACTGCTCTTATCTCTCCAGGGGGAGCGGGCCGGAGCCACAGCTGGCAGTCATTAAACACCCTGATCGGGCCTGGATGGCTGAGATATTAATAGCCGGGAGTCCATGGCCCTGGAGACAGCCTCCCAGGAAGGGGGACGGTCACCTCAGCAGGCCATGGCGATGAGCAGGACGGGTCATCCTGGCAGTGCCCCAGCCCCCATGCAGGACGGACGGGTAACCAGAGTCCAGAGAGAAGGAAGGGGACTTGCTGGGATCACCAGCCAGTCATTGGTAGAGCCCGGCCTTGAACCCAGTTCTCAAAACCCCAGAGCCTGGCTTCAGTGTGTGGACGGTCCCAGCTGAGGGTCACTGGGTGTGCCCTGTGTGGACACCACGTGGAGCAGACCGAGTTGGCAATGCTGACTCTTTAGTCTCTTTCTGTAAAAACCTTGATATCTCGTTAGTCGTGTGTTTTTGCCTTTGTTTCGATTTTTTAAGATATAAGTTATCCCGATGACTGAGTTCTGCGCCACCTCCTTAAACTGCGCACCCCGAGGCGAGTGCCTCCCTTGCTCAGCTCCCCGAGGGCCCAGCATCGCTGAGTCCCAGCAGGCCCCCAGCTGCCTCCTCCCTCCTGTGCCTGAGGCTCCCCCGCCCCACCCTTCCAGGTTCATCGTGGTGCAGTGGCTTCAGAGTATAACTGCAAGGGCTAGGGGAACAGGCCTCTAACTGTTTAATATTTTCCAAGTATTAACATCATCACACCGTGCGACCAAAAAGTTCCTGAGCGCTAAACTGTGTGCAGAGTTCCTGGCTCTGAGGATACGAGGCAGAGGCCCTGCCTCCCGGAGCTGACCTGTAATAAACGCGAGAAACGATAGGAGCAAGCAGGATGCGGGCTAGATTAAGGGGGTGGTCACAGGAGGCCTCCCCAAAGGGGGGATAGTGGAGCAGGAGCAGGTCAGGTCACCCCCTTCCTGATAATCAGGTGATTTTATTTTATTTTTTTAAAAAATACTGTTTATTGATTTTTAGAGAGAGAGGAAGGGAGAGGGAGACAGAAACACCTATGTGAGAGCAGAAAAAGAATTGGCTGCCTCTTGCATGTGCCCTGACCGGGAATCGAACCGGCAACCTTTAGGTGCATGGGATGATGCTCAATCAACTGTGCCACACTGGCCAGAGCAATCAGGATTTTAAACCATGTGCGTCAGAGCTGGGGCTCAGACACCTTGAGAGCCAGGTCAGAACGTGCAGGCCCCTGCCCCTGCAGCAGCAGCCCGGACAGCCTATGAGGACACCCCGCCACTAGGGGCTGGGGGCCTCAGTGTGTCCGCCTTTCCCCTAGGGACTCCAGAGCTCAGGCGACTGACAGGGGATGCCTGCCTGGACACAGGGAGCCCTGTTTCTTG